TATTTATGGATACACATTTCAGTTTACCTGATGCAAAGTAAAGTGCATGATTTCTGAAAAAAAGTCATACAAAGAAACTTTAGAAGGCACAAAATCTAACTTGCTTAGTTTCATAGAAGAGGAAACTATACTTCAGAGAGATTAATGATTATTTTGTTCAAGATAGCTAGTCATTGACTAGGACAGAACCAGAAGTCTCGTCTTCAGATAATTATCCCAAGACAGTGATTGTTATATTTGGGTTGTTCTTATCTGCTAGAGTCCGCCACAGCTAGAAAAAAAAAAAAATGTTTGAATTTCTACTAATACCAAGTGCTCTGAGAGTGAGGTGGAGCCGCTGCCCTAGAGTTGCTTAGAGGCTCACAAGTGAGTCAGCCATGAAAATAAAAATAAAAGTTATGTGACTATAAACCTTGTGGTATATATTTTTAAATAAATCTGGGATAACTTTAAGATCTGCAGCTACAGTCTCCTTGACATAGGTTGAGCATCCCACATCTAAAAATCCAAAATCTAAAATGCTACAAAATCCAAAACTTTCTGAGAACTAACACAATGTCACTGTGGAAAGTTCCACCCCAGGAAATGGGCTGCAGCTGAAACACAGGCCCACTAAACATACTGTACAAAATTGGGTGTCTAAGGTATAAAAAACACAAACGTATTTCATGTTTACACTTGGGTCCGATCCACAAGTACCTTTTGTGTATATGAAACTCTTCTGAAATTTGAAAATACCCCAAATGGATAGTATAAATTGTTGCTTTTTTTTTTTTGGTCCGTGTTTTGTGTTTCATTTTTAACAAACAAATAATGTATGAGAAATTCTTCTAGAACCTGTAAAGAGAAGGCAGGAAGAACAATTGTTGCCCCAATTAGAGTCAGTAACAACGGTGATTTAGAGTGTTAAAATTTTCAAGTTCCATATGTTTCATTTATTTTACTTTATTTTCTGTCATCACAGGAGAATGAAAGAGTGGAGTGAGAGAGCCATCTGGGGCATCATGCATTTTAATCTAAAAGAATAACCCTTCTCAAACATATGGACAATATTTTTTTCTCCCAGTATTGTCATTACAGCTCAAAAAATTTTGCTGTTTTATATTCAACCTCAATGTTCATTGAAAAGGACAATTTGTTCCTCTCCAATTATTTCTGAAGGTTTTTCAAGATAGATTTGAAATATGTTGACCTTTAAATTATGTGTTGATTTTTTTTTCTAATAACTTTAAGAGTAAATTCAGGATCAACACAGTCCCAATGCCAGGGAAAGATGAACGTAACAATGATTCAGACAGATGCCCATACTCCACTTAAATGTGTGCATGGGTAAGTAAGGTTTCAAACAATTTGAACGTAAATCTAGAGGGTACTCTTTACACAGGTCACTGTGGCTTTCATATGTGGCCTGGGAACTGTCCCACTGGCATGTGACTCTGTAGAGACAGCCATGGGCACCATTTCTTGATAAACACCTGGCTACCTAATTCATAAGCGTTAAACACTGAAGATAAAAAGGATGTCATTTTTAGTTGCCTTTAAGAAACTGAAAGATCTATAAATTATATATAATGTATAATACAGTGTGTCTGCCCTAAGGGACAGTCCAGTGTGAGATGGTGGTCTGAGATCCAGCAACCACTCAAAATTGAAAAGAAAATATCCAAAGAAAATTCTAAAAGGAAAGTAAAAGGGGGAAAATCTCAGGTACAAGGAATTCATACCTCATCCTTCCTTCTATGACATTGACTGGACGGGACCAACTGCCACCTCCCAGAGGCAATGAGCATGAGATATGTGGTGACAGGGACAAATATATCCCCACCTGTCTGAGCAGGTGAGGGGACTCAGATAGTTAAGTGCATTAACATGGTAAATCACATGGTGGGACAGATTCTCAACATAGCTGCATGACAGGAATCAGGGATGATTAGACTGAATCTGTGGGGATAAACCACAGGCTTTGTGGTAATGTGGAAACTCCACAGGTAATTCCAGTGTGCAAGGAAGACGGAGAGCCAGGGTGGGGCCAAGTGAGGGGTGGTCCTGGAAGTATATGGCAGGGCAGTGGCTCTCAGACATCGGAATAACCTGTAGACTTTTAAAGTACAATTTACCTAATTGCATCCTGGGATTCCTGATACAGTGGTCTACCAGAGTGAGAGGTTAGTTAGACTCTTTATTCACGTGTGTGTGTGTGTGTGTGTGTGTGTGTGTGTGTGTGTGTGTGTGTATCTAGGGGCATAAGAGGCAGGATAAATGGGATATATGTATATATGTATGTGTGTGTGTGTGTGTGTGTGTGTGTGTGTGTATGTGTGTGTGTATCTCCAAGGGATGTTGACGCTTCTGTACCTGCGACACATTCTGAGAACCACCGTATTGGGAATAATTATCCTAGTTTGTAGAGTTGAACCAGGTTTCCCACAGAGACTGGTATTTACCTGCCAAGGCTGAGTCTGGGTTAGGGAGGTATTTGAGATATTTGAGTCTTAACTGTGTGTGTGGTGGCAGTGGACAAGGGAAGCTGGGAGGGAATGTTTTTCACAGAGGGCAAAGCTTAGCAAGGGTCTGCAAGTAGATTTGAGGAGCAGAACAGATGTTCACTCTCACTGGTGACACCTGAGTCCTGGGGGCAGCAGAGTCCCATAAGTAGTTTGGGTTATATATTAAGAGTTTTGGCTAAATGGGGAGAGGACTTGATTTGATCTGTGGTTTTGTAAATTTGCTGTGATTATATAACCAAGCATGAGTTGAAGATGGACAAAATTGGAGAAAGTCTAGGTAAGAAGTTTTTGCACATGTCTGGTGTCGATAAAGAAGGAGATGAGTGGACAGATTCTAGGGTCATAAGAGGGATTTGATGATTGATGTAAAGGAGAGGAGGACAGATCAGGAATGAAAGACTGAGATGTAGATTTGGCTGCTGGGTATAGTCTTGCCTCTCCCACGGTGTAGGGGTGAGGTGTGGGGTCGACCATGAGTTTGGACACAGTGAGGTTGGGGTACCTCTAAGACCTTCAAACAGAGGTGTTCAGGAGGCAGGAGGATGCGTGGGTTGGGGTGCATTATGAGGCTATCAGCATAGAAATGGCAGCTAAGGATGTAAGAATAACCAGGGGACGGGAGGATGAGCAGGGAGACAGAAATGTGGCAGGGCAATAGGTCTCTTGGGGACTGGAGAGGTCTGTTGGCTGAAGTTGAGATAAACTGAAGCTGAGCTGAAGTTGTAGGATGAATGGTCACATCTCACATGCCTTAGAAATACAGCTAAAATAAACCGGAGGGGTTTCTTTTGGGTGGGTTACGGGGGTCTAAGCGGTTATGAAACGAACTGCTGCTTGTCAATTCTAGCCTTTTGCCTTACGTCTCTCACCTATGGCCTAAGGAGAAGAGCCTGCTGTCTACTGTGACCAGGCCAAGGCAGGGGCACAGGGGTGAGGCCACATCAACTTAGGGAAAATGCATGGCTCTCCTACACTGAGCTCCAAATTAGCCACAAAGGGTCTCTACATCAGGTCTGCCCGGGGTTGCTAGAACGCAGGAGTCCTAAGGTAGTGCACTGGACGAAATTAGATGGGGATGTGTCTACTTTCCCATCCACTTGGGACTACCTGACTGCAATGTTTATGGCACACTTTCTGTAATTTGGCATGGGCCAGTACCTATGGCTAGAGGGAAAGGGTTAAGGAAAAAAAAAATAAGAAGAAGAAAGAAAAAAAGAAAGAAAGGTCTTATCCTCAGGGAATTTATTTAATCGTGTGAATATGACATTTGAAAATCAATAATCTCTGGAACAATGTATAATGTAGTTGCAAACAAAGTAGTTTGATATAAATGATACAGTATATAAATGAGTTAATCCTGAACAAACAAACCAAAACCAGAGGCTCTAGCTTGCCCGATTTTCTGGCCTTTACACTTGCTTTAGCAGCGTTTGCACTCTTTTGGGAAAGGACAGTATAGTAGGATCTGTAGCTCTGTCCCTGGCTCTTGCTCCTCCCCTTTCCCTTGAAATACATAAAGCGCATCCACAGTGCATGTTGTGGATCCTTACAGTCTGAAGACGGTGGACCCCGTCTGCACGAATAAATACAAGGGAACAGGATAGGCAGGCCCTTCTCTTTTAAAATTCTTTTCTTTCTTTGTTCTCTCACTGTATCCTACCTTCTTCTTTTTTTAATTTTCCTATTTTGGGGGGTAGCATATAAATATTTTTTATAACTCTTATAAACTCAAAATATACCATCTGAACAATTTCTCCTTTCAAGTTCACAAGGAGAAATTGTTTAAATGGTATTGGGACTTGGGGCATGGGAGTATTTTTCCCTGTTTCACCAGCCACGATTTAGGCATGAACTGCAGCCATCACCCGGTGAGAGAGAGGACAGGCTGTCTTCAGAAGTGAATGCAAATGATATTGTACAGCCACGGTGTTTCCCATTTTTGCTTCTGTTGCAAATGATCTATCCGTTTTAAATGTAAAAATACATTTTGAAACATCTGTTTTTGTAGTCTTGACACCAATCTTCACAATCGCATTGGGCATAATTAAAATTTTAAACCATGGTGCTAATCCATGCTATCACATTATGTAGTACTAAGAAGCTATAACATGTTCTCTACTGGAATGTCATCTTATTCATGCATAAAAAGAAGCCATGAGTAGGGTGGACTGAATACAGTTTAAAATCCTTCCATTTTTAGTACTGTCCGCCTTTTCCTATCGGGAAGAAGCTGATCCTTTTTCTACTCCTGGAAAACCTGAAGTGGCAAATGCCGCCTGTGAGTTTCTCCCTGCTAAGTTTTATATGAACTTGATACATCTCATCTCACCTTAGCACCCTCTGTAGTTAGTGCCTTCTAGTCAGAGTTAATCTAGGGAGTCACAACTGCCATCACTGGCTTTATTCGTGCGTCAGCACAGCTAAACCCTTCCCTGCCCACCTCTGGGTACAGTCATTAGGATCCAGGAGAGGAGAGAAAAGACCCGCTCTTACCATTGTCATTGCCTTGCTTGATTTCCTCCGCGGTCCTGTCTATCAACACATACAAAGACCAAACCACACAGGTGATGGCGATGACATGGAATGTGACAGAGCAGAATATTTTTCTCCTTTCACTTGTGGTCATCTGTAGTTTTTCCCACTGCAATTAGAAACAAATTACACAAAACTGAGTTTATAACTAGAAAATTAGGCTTTGATTTTTATTTCCCAGACATTGGTCACAAATGGAAGGAAAACATATTTTTGCAATTTAAGATTACACTATACTATTCAAATAAGTCATCATGTTTGGAGAACCATGAAATCATAATAGGTTAAAGATATAAAAAAAAAAAAAATAGAAAGATGTTGGATGCCATCGCGCATGCCTATACTTCTAGCTATTTTGAAGGCTGAGGCTGGAGGATCACAATTTCAAGGCCAGACTCAGAAACTTAGTGAGACCCTGTCTCACAATTTTTAAAAAGGGCTGGTGATGTAACTCAGTGGTAGGATGGCCCTTGGTTTGTATCTCTGGTACTGCAAAAATAAAAATTAATTAATTAATACAAACAAAAATAATTTCCCATTTTCCAAGTGAATTAAATCATTTTTGTTTTGCTAGTCTGTGTTGCATTCTACAACACGAATGATATACTTTTAATATTGTACAAGTTTTAGAAAACATTTCCTTTTAGGTTTCGGCCTATCACCTCTTTGTGGTACTAGATTACAAGTAGTGATAGGTAACATTGTCTTCTTATTATGACATGACCTTACATAGTGTTTCATTCTTTTTCTCAGGGGTATAGGGTATTGGGGATTGAACTCAGGGGTACTCAACCACTGAGCCACATCTGTAGTCCTATTTTTTTAAAAAAATTTTATTTAGAGACAGGGTTCTCACTGAGTTGCTTAGCACCTGGCTTTTGCTGAGGCTGGCTTTGAACTAGCGATCCTTCTGCCTCAGCCTCCCGAGTCCCTGGGACTACAGGCATGTGCCACGGTTCCTGGCTAGTATTGCATTCTTGAATGTGTGAATTTAACGGGTATTTGAATGGCTGATTAATAGTTGCAAGGGAGAGTCAACATTTTCTGTTCACAACTCTTCTAGAAAAACAAAATTTTAACATCCAGGCCATAGAAGACAATCTGCCAAAGCTCTTTTCAAAGTGGCCTTGATTTATTGATGCCAGAAGAGTTGTAAATTCTGGGACAATCATTGTCCTTTAATCACACTCCTCGAAAGTTGAGGGGTGCTCTCTAAGGCTGGGAGGCTACAGGTTGGTAGAAGAAGTGAAGCTTGTGTGAGGATATGTTTCCCATAGTGGGAAAAGTAGCCTCTCAAGATAAACTTGGATGTTTGACATGCATAGCGTCACTTCATTTCCATGTTAGGAATCATGCTTTATTTTGCTTTACTGTATTCCCAAAGGAAAATGAAATCACTATGATTTTATTACCTGTGAACGAATATGCAAAGCTCTTAGTAATTCAAGATTCTTTATATTATTATGCCCTTGCTAAAGCAAAATCTTTAGAACTTGTTAAGACCCTATCCCAGCAACACGCACATGGAACTTGATGCAGGACTTAATTAAAAGCAAGAGGGCATCCATCATGTTGCAGAAAGTCCTGGATCTGCCACCAGCTTGAGACATGACTGACATTGTTCACTCACACTGGGCCCCACTTAACTCATCTTCATGAGAAGTATATTTTGGCAGAGGTATGGCAGAGAGGCTGGAGAGGAGCACAATCATCCTTCACTTCTTCCTTTGTTAATAGGCTAATTCTACTAGGGTCGACCTTATGCCCAGCTAAAAGCTGCCTTTCCAACCTTGTTGGCAGAGGTGAACTTTGGCTCTTTTCCACCAATGAGATATGAGCAGATATTTACAGGAACATTGAGATTTTGCTCCTGGATATAGGGATTATTCTTTATTCTTTGCTTCATAGGGGTCTATCAGAGCTAACTGACCATTTACACTCCTTCCTGTACTCTTGCATCTTCCGTATTATTCTAATAATGGAGAAATCTTAATAATAACGTCCTAAGAAGTAAACACACATTTCAATCTACACTCTGTTTTGGAATAATCAACAACCAATTGAAAAGATTTTAGCATTGCTTTGGCTTTTATCGAAACTTCACATCATATTTGTGAAAGATTGCTTCTTAAAATCTTGTTTTGGCATTTATTTATGGCAATGTTGATTTGAATAACCTGTATAATCACAGAACCTTACCATCTGGTAATAGCATTTTGTGGTTTACTAAATACTCCTTGAATTACCTCAATATTCTGTATGACCAGTACAAAAGGTGAGGTGGTACAGAAAAGCAGATTCAGCTGTTCAGATTTTTAAAATGTTCCAGTGTACGGGAATACCCTCAGTAACAAAATATTCCTACCAAGTGTATCCTCAATTGTAAAACTACCCATAAAAACCCTTAAAAATGAGTCTTCTCTTATCTAAGGAGTAATTTGATAAAATGGCTGGAACACATTATTTAAAATCAATGAACCTCCAATAGAAAAATATCAGTGGAACGGACACAGATGGACCAAATCATTTGTAAAGATTCCTTCTCGTTCCAGACAATAGAAGCTCCGAATTTATCACCTCTAACTGGCATTAGAAGTGACATTTTAGGGAGAAACCAAGTGTGAGGGGACCATCAACCTTTTCCATGTTATAAAGCTTTACAGAAACCATTCAGAAATTCACTACGCAGCGCACAGGTAAATGTGATGTCACAGCGCCATCTACCTGGGGATTGTATTACTGCAGCCGATGTTCAGTTCACTGCACCAACGAAATCATTGTTATTTATAAACTGGACATGTTGTCTATTCAGTTTGCTATTTTATATAACAAGTTTCAATACTTTTTAAAATTTTTAAATTTGTTCTAATTAGTTATACATGACACAAGAATGCACTTTGACACATCATACACAAACGGAGCATAACTTCTGATTCTTGTTGTACATGCACATAGGGTAATAATGTCTGATTCATACAAGCCTTCACCATGAGGAATAGAAGGAGGAGGTAGGGAGGGATAGACAAAGCTGTCATGAAAGTACTGTGATTTAATATTTGTGTAATTGAAATTCAGTAGCAGCACACAAAATATTTTGTGATAGGAAAGTGGTAATCTGAAAATTCACATAGCATTTGACTCCCTTCCCAGCTTTATAAAACAAAGTGTAGTTTCTGCCTACATTAGCATGTGCATGACGTTACCAGTGTTATATCTCTAGAGGGTGGGGTGTCAGGAGAGCTGCTTTGGATTCTCAAAGTCCTAGTCACAACCTAGTGACTAGATGGTCACTAGATAGGGACGAGATGGACCAGAGTCACGACCATCGGCACAGCAGCAGAATCAGGGTGCTAGTTAGAGATGCAAATTCTTGAGCTTTACTTTTGAGATGACCATATTGGCTTTTCCCACAGGGCACTCAGAAACTATGAACCTTGCCTCCTCCTTGATGAGGCCAGCCCCCTTCTGCCTTGCCACCAGTGGGGCAGCAATGGCCACCGCCTTTCCTCTAGATTACTCAGATCTGAGCCAAATATTCAGTCCTCATGTCTCAGTGTGAAGGAGACACACATCTCTCCATCTAGTGCAAACATTAGAGACCACTCCCTTTCTCAAGGTAGAAAGGGGGACAGGGACACACCACAGCACACAAGCAGTCTTACAAGGTTTTGCACTGCCTATTCAGTAGTTATCAAGTTTTCTTTGTTTAGTTACTCCAAATATTTTATTTTTCTAACAGTGATACTATGTAAATGGAAAAAAAGATCAAAATGTAAATGGAAAATGTCAAAAAACACTGGTTGGTATTTAGTCTGAGAATTAAACCAATGCTCTCTTGAGGTTCAGAACTGATCAGTGACAAGACTTTTTGATTCTTCCAAGGAGTTCCTTCATAAGGCAGCCTTCTATCTAAACTTGCCCTGGAAGACAATTGAGATTCCGTCTGCCCTGTCACTGAAGACATGTGGGTTAGGAGTAGACCTGTAATTGCTACCACACAAAATCAAACATTGATCAGGTTTTGAGATTAAGTTTTCTTGAAAATTAGCATCAGCTAAGGTTGGCAAAACCAGCTTCAAATATCTCAGCACCTCCTACATACTTGGTCTTTGGGCTTAGACTTTACAATTCCTGGGTTTTGGGTACCTATTTGTTGTTCTGGGCCTTTGCTCCTTTGTTGAAATCCTTAAACAATAGAAAGAATTGGACAGAATTCTGTTATTCACTCAGAAATACACAGCCAGATTTTTCTGAAAAGAGTTCTGAATTAGGGCTGGGAATGTGGCTCAAGTGATAGCACGCTCGTCTGGCATGTGTGCGGCCCGGGTTCGATCCTCAGCACTACATACAAAAAAAGATGTTGTGTCTGCCAAAAACTAAAAAATAAATATTAAAATTCTCTCTCTCTCTCTCTCTCTCTCAAGATTTCTGAACTACTGTATAAATTGATGGAAATATTGTTTCTGTGAAATTTTTCATTTGCTCTAGCTAAATCTAACAATGCATTTCAGTGTGATTTTCTAAATTAAATTACTTGTATTTGTAGTCTATTCTAAGACATAAATTTGAAAATACTAATGAAAATGTTTTAAAAATCTTTGTAGAATGAAGGCGGTTCATTTGCACAACATTAAAATCCATGAGGTAGGGACTACTTTGCCAAAGCCATTTGTTTTTTCCTGGCCACTGTGTAGGACCAAGAATTATCATGAAATCTATTGATTGACAGAGCAAATAACCGCCACTTGGTGGCACTAAGCCCCCGTGGTAACTAACAGAACTGGTTTCCATGTGCAGGCTGACCAGGCACTCCCAGCCAGCTGGCTGTGAAGGCTGTTAACCCAGCATCAAAGCATCAAAGCAAATTAACAGTTTAGCTGTTTAAATTTTTCTGACTCAGCTTGTCATATTACGGTAGGGTTTAGTCGCTCGTGTGCAAAATAATACCTAGAACAGCAGGTATGAAATGCATTGTATTATCTACACATCTTAATAACATATGTTGTGTTAAAGCGTAAATAAACCCTACAAAAATTCTAGAACCTTGGAGAAGTTCCTAGAGGATTCATTCCTGTGTTGCAGTACTTCTCAGTGTTCCCCAGTGTCAAC